ACAAAGGGGCGGAAGACACGAGCACAACTCCTGCCCCCACTCCTGCTCCCAGCATCCAAACTCCTCCTGGAGGCAGCAGCCGCTTCTTCCTGAGGGGCTCCAGCAAGAGCCGAGTCCCCAGCCCTGAGCAGCTCTGTCCTGGAGGGAAGGGATGGGACACACAATTGAACAGAGGGACATGGACATTCCCAGCCCACAGAGAGCAGGAACCTGCAGAGGGTGAGGAGGCACAGCCTTGGTCACGGTGCTGGATGGAGAAAAGCCTTTCCTAAGCAGGGCCTATGAAGGGAAAGAAAATTGCCGAGGAAGGAGGGTCCAGTGCATTCCTGAGTGAGATTTCAGCACTCAGAAACAACCTGGAAGAGCCTGCTGATTCATGGGCAGACTTGGTCTTGCTCTCCAAGTCACCAAAGATGAGATGGAGTCCAAACAAAAGAATTCGGGGGCATGGAGGGAGGAGGAGAGGGTGGTGGAGGAGGATTGGTGCAAATCAGCCAAATACCCCAAACCTGCTGCCCAGGGGGCTCCTGTGTGAGGAGCTCACACTTCCTGCCCCAGCAGGATCCACCCTCCCTGCTCGGGGGCTGAGAGGGGATTTCGCTGTAACGCTGCTGGAACCTGTTCCCCAGCTTGTCCACGCCAGGCTGGCACAGGCACTGACCTCAGCAGTGCCACCAAAGCCAGCCCAGGAACAGGGGACAGCTCAGCCCACCAGAGCACAGCCTGCCCTGCACGGGGTGGGAGCCCAGGCTCAGCTCATCCCTCCCTCCCAGCTCGGGTGCATTTCTCTCCTCGTGCTCACAAACTCCACCAACGAGGCATGGGAATTTTGGGAGTGGCTCCCAAGGACTCCCAAGCAGAGGCTGCAGCAGTGCCACCCCCCAGCAGCACCACTGGGACCCTGGTGACAGGGAGCCACAGGTCAGGATCCCTCTAGGACATCCTTTGGCCATTACAAATAGCTCCTGGAAGGAGGAGCAGCCCCCCAGAGTCACAGAATCTTAAAGATTTGGACTGGAAATTATCTTAAAGACCAACCAGTTCCACTCCCCTGCCATGAAGAAATACCTTCCATTAGCCCAGGTGGAAAAGGATGAAAGAAACATTCAAGTTACAAAAAAAAATTTTATTTATGTGCTATTATTAATAACTACTAAACTGAACTAAGAGCTGGAGCTGCTGGCTTGGACCCAACTGGGAAGGTTTTCCAGTTGTTTTGACAGTGAATAAAACAGGTGGACAAAGAGCAGCTAAGGAGATGCTGGCACTCAGGGAGAGACAGCAGAACCTGGCAGCCAGTGGGAAAAGGGTCCTGTCCACCCTGTCCCACCATGGCAGTGCCCAGCCCATGCTGGGTGTGCTCTGAGCTGTGCCCACACCTCCCAGTCCCTTCTCTGGGACAGCAGGATGGCAGGACAGTGCCACCCTCTGCAGCCAAGTGTGGCAGGTGAAGCCCCTCAGCAGCTGCCAAGGCAGGATGTTCCCGTGCCCACCCCAAACCCATTGTCCAACCCCTGCCATGAGGCCGGGCACCACTGCCCAGGATGTGCTGCTGAAGAGGAGCTGATCCCAGCCATGTCCAAGTCCTGCTCAAAGGGGGCTCCCCCCGTGGTCAGGGGACACTCACACTGTCCCTGCCTGCCCAAGGCAGCGCTGGGGACCCTCTCTGGTGGGACACACACCCCTGTCCCTGTGGGATCCACGGGGACGCTCCCAGGCCCTCACCCCATCCCCTGGAATATGGGACTGCCCTGCTGTGACTCCCCTGCTTCTCCCCACACCTCACTGGTTTACAAATGGCAGGCTGGAAAAGGAAGCTGCCGGTGTTGGAGCAGGACAGCGGGACCCAGGGAAAGGCCGGACCTCTCTGGGTGAGGAATGAACCCACCTGTGGGGTGGGGAAAATCCTACCTCTGCTCCCCCGAGCACGGCCAAAAACTTCATCCTTTATCCCCAGCAAAGGGGGAATTTCCGCTGCCCCCAGACTGGACCCAGTGCCCAGGACCGGGAACATCCCCAAGATTTATCCACGAACTGGGTGTGCAGCAGGTCCTGCACAACCGTGCTGGAACCGAAGCCAAGGAGCTGCGCTGGTGCCCCGTGCCCGTGCTGGCCATCCCCGGCCGTGCTGGGCATTCCGGGCCGTGCTGGGCATCCCCGGCCCGGGCGCTCGGTACCCGGTGACCCTGCGCCCGCTCCCCCGCGCGGTCACGGAGCTCCTCTCGCTGCGCCCCAGGCCCGAACCGCCACCTCTGTTTCTCCTTCTCTTCACTGTTATTTTCCCGCCCTCTCACCCCTCCCCGGCGCTGCTCGGCTCTCCCGGGCCCGGCCCGGCCCGCGCTGCCGCCGCTCCCTCAGAGACCGCTCGGTGCCCGCGCCTTTGCTCAGGCCAGAGCAGCGCTCGCCGTCCGAACAGCCTTGGGCAGAGCCGCGGAACGCTCCGCAGGCACAGACCCGGAGCCCAGGGACGCTCCGCAGGCACAGACCCGGAGCCCAGGGACGCTCCAGCGCTCGGGGCCCGCCGCTCCCCAGGTCCCTGAGGGGCAGAGGAGCCCAGGAGAGCACTCGGGCTGGTCCTGGGCGCCGCCATTTTGGCTCAGGGCAAGGAGGGCCGCCATTGGCTGGGTCGGGGAGGACCCCTAGGATCGACCAATCACTGACAGGGTTGGCGTGATGGACGCGGGGGGGGCGGGAGCTGTTAGCGGAGCGGGAGAGACCATCTACGGGCGCTGCCGGGGGGGCCCGGGCGAGCCCATCGCGCCGATGCTGAGGGCGGCTCGGGCTCGGGCCGCGCTGGCAGCGCCGCAGCCGGGCCTGCCCCGGGGAACCGCCGAGTCCCGTCCCAGCGCACCCTGCCACGGCCCGGGACACCGGCCGTGCTCCGGGGTGCCCCCAGCCCCTCCAGCCGGCACTGGGGGTCACGAAGGCGATCCCCGGCAGGGACCCGCCTGCGGCTGGGATCGCAGCTCGCGGGTAGAGCGGCAGCCGAGCATCTGTTGGAGCTGGTGCAGACACCTCAGGAATCTCCTGCTCCTGCTGTGCCGGGGCTGCCCGAGGGCCCTCAGCCCCAGTTCCAGCTTCCATCAATCTTGGCTCTTGTGCTCATCAGTCAGGAAGCGAGTTTGCCCTGCGGGTGATGTCCCGCTGCCTCCGGGCCCGCAGCAGGAGAAACTGAGGCAGCAGTTCCATGAGCGATGACCATGGGCAGCAGTGAGATGTGAAACTGCAGCAGACAGGGACCCAGGATTCCTTCTCCAGAATAAACACGGACTCGGGGTAGATTTCCCTGAATTGTGGTTTAATTTCATTATCTACTGCTGCTACATCTGTACCACATTGTACAAAATGTAATCCCAAGAACATTCCAGCCCCGCTGTTGGCTCTGCTCTCTCCTGTCACGAAGTACCCTTGGCGCTCTGGCTGTGACCCTCCCACAGCCACCAGAACATTCTGCTGTCCAGGCCCGGTGCTGGGAGCCCCTGGCCATGGCAGGAGGTCCCTGGGAGTCCCTTTCTGCTCACACAGGAAGGATTTTCCACCTCTTTTGCTCGAGGCAAAGGCTCCCAGCAGTGCCGTGACCAGGGGCAGTTGGGTGCACAGGTGATGCTGGGGGTGATTCAGGACTGGCACAGCCCTTGTGCAGCACATGCTGAGGGTCTGGGGAGTTGCTCTGCTCCCACCCTGCTTGTAGACTGCCAGTCCTTCCCACCAGAGCATTTGCACTGGGAGCCTCACCTGGCCCATGCCAGGATGGTCTGAGATTTCATCTCCTGCCCAGACAAAATGAGCAGGCAGATATCTTTTAAACTTTGAGGTTAGGGAAGATAATCTACTTAGCAGCTACTGGTAGTAGAACATATGCAGAGCTGCTTTTGCCAGATTTGGGAAACCTGCAGAGAATCACATGGAATCCAAAGTGATTGTTTTGGCTTGAAAAAGCATATGTGAAAGGACCAGAGATCCCTGATGTCCAGAAAGGTCCTTGTTGTGGGTAAGTGCTGTGGCAGGATGGTCTCTCCCATCCACCTGTGTTCTCCACTGAAAGTTTCAATTTGGCCAGTTATTTTTCCTCTCATTTTCCATGTTCCTGAAGCTTCTAAGCTGTGTTTTAAAGGTCTCATAGAAAGCCTGATTATTAAAAAAAAAATACAGTGCTCTTAAAGCTTTTTTCCCCCCAGTATTGATGGCAATGCAGCATCATGTTCAATATGCAATCACTGGATCTGAAAAATAACACCCTCAGACTGTGAAGAACATCTGACAATAAATGCACAGCCTTCATATGGACGAGTCCTCACCAAAACCTTCCCATCCTTGGAGCCAGGCAGGGATGTTCTCAGCAGGGCCACGCTACAGGGAGGAGTCTGAAAGTGAGAGTGAGAGAGAAGCAGCTCAGGGTTGTAGTGAGGAAGATCAGAAATAGTCTGAAAAGCCCCCTGGAGGGGCAGCTGAAATATTACAGGGCCTAAAAGTCTGCAGTGGGTGACAGGGGTTTAACTGACCCATTTTGCCACTCCTGTAATCCCAGCAAGGTATTTTGCATTTAAAGAAAAATATTTGACTCCAGGTAAAGGATATTTCACTGGGTACAGTCACCAACAATATTTACCCCTAAGTCTATCCAAGAGTCTATCTTCAGCCATCCCACTGCCCTTCCATCCACAGGAGGATCCCAATGCCCCTGACCATGTCACTCTCTTCTCCCTTTGTGTTGGCTTTGGCCAAACATCAGCTGCTCCCTCAATGCTCCCCTCACCTGGCACATTTGCCAGGGTCTTTATTCTGCAGCTTCTGCACTCAAGAAAAATCTAACCTTGACATTATCCTACCTAATGAAGAAGGGATTGTTCCTTCTAAAAAATTTGCTCAAGCTCAGCCAAAACCTCTGGGTCATGTAGCAATCAAGTGGTCTTTCCCATCTGCCTTTTTATTTCTGGTATTTGATCACGAGTACCATGATCAGGAATTCAGTTATTCAGCCCAGAGGCACCATTGCTTTGTCAGCAGGTGGAGCTGGCCGGGGACCATTTCTGAGGCCCTGGGCAGCAGGGACAGCCCTGGATCTGCCAGGGAAGCAGCAGTGCATTACCTTTGATGGCGAGGAAGGCTTTGCTGAAGGCACGGCCCACTTCATTGCTGGCTTCCACCATGTACTCGCCCTCGTCCTGCTTGGTGACCCCCAGCACCACCAGTGAGCACACGCCGAAGTCGTTGGTGCAGAAGTAGTTGGGATCTCTGGAGAGGTCTCTGCTGTCCTTGTACCAAGTGACTTTTGGTGGGGGGTGGCCTCCCACAGCACAGCTCATGTGGCACTCGCTGCCTGTCACCACCACATGGCACTTCAGCGGCACCAGGAACCTCGGGGGCTGGTTCTGGTTAACTCCCCTGTATTTCTGTGCTTTCACTCGAAATTCAGCTGTGAAATATAAAGCACCAAACACACACTCAGATACTGCTCCCAGCACTGCAGGGTTTGCTGGGGTTTGTTCGTGCAGTGTCTGGAATTCGGCAAATTACCAGAGATCCCATGCACCTATGGATTGTAACCTCTGCTGCTCCTCAGAACTACACAACATTTAACTTCAAAGTCAGAAATTTTGGTTTATACAATACTAAATCCTTAGATTTTGCTGGGAATTCGTTCTGGGGCAAATTGCATGTCATGATGGCTGGGAAGGAGGGCCTGTCTGCATAATGCCCCTGCAGAAAGCACAAACCTTCCCTGCCCAGCTGGAATTCCTCAGGGCATCTCTGTGCATTCCTGTTCTGGGCCACTGAATATTCCCAGGGGGAGAGATCCATTTGAGGGTGAGGTGTTAGAAGCAATGAAAGAAACAAAACACAACACAGAGAAATACTTGAAAATGTTTTACCCTTTTTTTTCCAGATCCTCCAGGGCTGCACAGTCTCTGATGGATCACTGGCTCCCACGTCATTTTTTGCCACAACTCTGAAGTAATAATCCCTGCCTGGGACCATCCTGGTGAAGGTGAACTTGTTGTTGTAGATCAGGTCCCCCAGCACATGCCACAGGCCCTTCTGGGACTCCCGTTTCAGGACAGTGTAGTACAGGTTCTTCTCCCACTGCTCAGAGGCTGAGGGCTCCCAGGTCACTGTCACTGTGTTGGGGACATTCTCCTCCAGCCGGATGGCTCCAGGGGGCTGAGGGACATCTGCCAGGGGAGGGCACACAATGTCACAGCTGTAGGGACAGGGGCACAGAACCCTAAAATCCTGGAGTCTGTTGCATGTGTGGGGCTCAGTGACCATGCTGGTGACTGGAAGGGACAAAATGCCATTCCTTGTGCAGGCACACAGCTGCATTTGCCATGGACTGAGCTGCTGCTGCACAACATCTGCACTGACAGGAGGGTGGTACAGCTGAGCTGCTTCTCCTCCTGGGGTCTCTGCTGGGAGAGCTGTGCTCAGTGTCCCACAGCCTGTGCTGACCTCCCTCATGCACTGTGGAAGGACAGTTTTAGTCAGTGGATTGCTCTGTCCTGCAGACAGGTGAGATCATAAAGTGCCTAGACAATCTCATAGAAAGCTGTTCCCTGCTTCTCCCTGTGCCTGCACAGACAAACTGCAGCAGAGCTCATGCTGCTAAACTCAGCTTGTGGCCTTCTGCCTACTCACAGTAAATCATGGGATCCCAGACTGGTTTGGGTGGGGAGGGACCTAAAAGTTCATCCAGTCCCACACCCTGCCATGGGCAAGGACACCTTCTACTATCCTGGGTTGCTCCAAGCCCAGTCCAGCCTGGCCTTGAACACTTCCAAGGATCCACGGGCAGCCACAGCTTCTCTGGGAAACCTGTACCACCCTCACAGGGAGGAGTTCCTTCCCAATATCCCATCTAACCCTGCCCTCTGGCAGTGAAAAGCCATTCCCCCTTGTCCTGTCCCTCCAGGCTTTTGTCCCCAGTCCCTCTCCAGCTCCCTTGGAGCCCCTTTAGGCCCTGGAAGGGGCTCTGAGATCTGCCCAGAGCCTTCTATTCTCCAGGTGAGCACCCCCAGCTCTCCCAGCCTGGCTCCAGAGCAAAGGGGCTCCAGCTCTCTGAGCAGCTCCGTGGCCTTCCCTGGAATTGCTCCAGCAGCTCCAGCTCCTTCCTTTGCTGGGTGTCCCCAGGGCTGGGGCAGCTCTGCAGGTGCAGTTCCACCTGAGGGAGCAAGGGGCAGAATCCTCCCCTGCCCTGCTGCCCACGCTGGGGTGTCACAGACATCTTTTGTGAAAAATCCTTTCTTTAGGATTTTTCTCCCTTCTGAGAAGCTGTGGCCTCAGCAACAAATGTAAACAATGGTTATCTGCCGCTGTGGAATGTAACAGGTGCACCTGTGATTGGTTTCCTGTGCATGTTTGGATTTACTGACCACTCACAGCAGAGCTGTTCTTGCTTTCTGTCTGGACACAGAACTTTGTTATTAATTCCTTTTCTATTCTTAGCTTAGCTAGCTTCTGAGAACTTTCCTTCTATTCTTTTAGTATAGTTATAATGTAGTATATATGTCATAAAATAATAAATCAAGTCTTCTGAACATGAGGTCAACATTCTCGTCTCTCTCTTCACCCTGAAGACCCTTGCAAGCCCTGTAACACTGGGGGATCAGCCCAGGGCATGCCCAGCTCTCACCCACCCGCAGCCCCAAGTCCTTGTCCAGGGCTGCTCTCAGTCCCTTCATGCCCAGCCGGGACTGGCGGGGAGCTGCTGGTACATTTGCATGTAGTGTACGGACGGCAGTGAGTTACCTGTAACTTGAACCTGGAAGCTGAAGGTTTCGCCTTTGCCCAGCCCATCCCCGAGCTCCACAGTGTAGGTGCCGCTGTCTCCGAGTTCCGCTGCCCGCAGCAGGAGCTGGCTGCTCCCCTGCTCGGTGCTCACGGCAGCGCGGCCGGGCAGGGGCAGCCCGTCCTTCAGCCACGTCACCGCCGGCTCGGGAGATCCCTGCAAACAACAACCACTCACTGCCACTTCTTTCACCTCCACACTGTGTCCTGTATCCTTACTTTCATTATCTTACCCCAAACATGCACCTCCTCAACACAGTAATGTTTAGAAGTACAGATCCACGATGGATCTGAGAGCCCTGATCTGTTCTACAGTTTCTTTATGAATTCTTTTTCCTTTTTGTCCTTTAAGGATGTAATTGCAGGAAAGTGTTCTTTTGAACTGTGTCAAACAGGCTATGCCAGATCAAGGACAGATAACTTCAGGAGAGAGTATTTTCTGCTTTAAAAAAAAGATCTGTTGGTTTTGGAAAGAAAAAACATCATCTAAGTCTTTATTTCCATTATGCCATCTTTGGTCTCCTCTCCCAGAGATTAGGAGAAAGGCCAGCAAATATACACACACTTCACTACCCTCCTCTGGTATCCCAGACTTTGAAGAATCATGGAATCATTTATGTCTGGAAAAGACCTCCAAGAGGATTGAGTCCAACCCATGCCCCATCCTCACCTTAAAGGCACTTTTACCCTTTTTACACAAAAGATGTTCTTTGGACACCTCCAAGGATGGGGACTCCAAACCTCCCTGGGCAGTCCCTTCCAAACCTGACCACCCTTCCCATGAGGAAAAGCCTGTGTTGTTCCAAGCCCACTCCAAAGCACTGAGGTTTCTGTCAGTGCCTGCCAAGCTCTCAAGTGCTGCTGCTTGGTGAGACAAGCCCAGTGAAGGTGCTGCTGGAAATGGTGCCCCAAGGCCTTCTGAGGGAGTCACAGGGAAATCTCTGATTTGGGCAGTCTGACAGAGCAGCAGCAGATGATGATAACATTGATAAGGCTAGGTGGACAGCACTGAGCCTTGTTGCAGAGGTTAAGGAATGACCACAATGCCAAGACTGACTGCTCGATTCTGGCTTGTGTTTTCCTCACCCTGAAAGTCTACACAGCACAGGCAGGCCAAAGTATTTGCCCTGTGACTTGTAAACAAAATTCCATAACATAAAACCAGTGGCTCAGTTTTCCTGTCTGCCATAAAAGCAGGCAGGGAATTCCTCCAAAGCCCTGAATACCCACCTCAAAGGGAATCTTCACCCGGATGGGATCCCCTGCTTTTATAAGCAGGAAGCTTTTCACTGTGTCATCTATCAGGAACCTGGGAGAGACTGGAAGAGACAAAGAAGGTGGATGTTGGTGCAGTCACTGGTGACAATTGCAGTGTTCTACCCCCCGGTGCCTCTCCCAGCTGAATGAGGCTGCTGAGGGACTCACAGTGGGAAAAAGCTCCCTAGTTCAGTCCCAGACTGTACACCTCTCAAATTTCATTACTATTTATTTATCACCATGACTAAACAAGGGAAAATGATGTAAAAATGCATTCACAACAATCTCTGTATTCATGTGATGTCTCAGTCACAGAGAAATGGGCTCTTTGCCACACTTTATCCTATCACAGGGATCATCTTTTGTGTTTAAATGGTGTCTGGAAAAAGGAAATTCCAATGGACACTTATAAAATATATGCAGTACAGAGCACAGAACATCCACAGGAAAGCTGCCAGAGTTTATCTAAAGTAGTATTTTTTAGCATTTAAAATATTTTCTTTTCTCTTTTCATCAATATACTACACCAGTTAGTATTTATCTAAGCATACCAAATACAGTAATGCTAAATTGCATTTAGTGTTCCCAGTGTAGAACTGAACACCTGCTTTAGATGGATTTATTTGATTTCCTTTATTTTATGTTTTATTGATAAATGGAGTCTCCAGGCATATGCCAAAGTACACATTTTCACTTAGGATCCAAGTTAAGGAAGATTAACCCCTCAGAGAATTATCTCTTACATCTGTAATTCTGCAATGTCCCCAAAGAGCAGGGAATAAACAGAGCTGCAGATTGTAAATAAAGATGGAAAAGTGAAAATGGTGAAAACTTTCAAATTAAACAATTAAAAAGTAAAATAAAATAAAGTATCCAAAACATATTTTAAAATGTGATTTAAGAGAACGAAATAAATTTTTTAATTTCAGAAGATTGTCTAAAAATTGAGTGGAAACTCTATTTTTCCCATGGAGGAGTGCAAGCAGGGCTAAGGCACATCCAGGTTCTGTCTGGTGACTGTGGAGTGGCCCTGGACAGGGGGCAGAATGTAAGTACAAGGAGAAAATGGAGTTCTGAGAGTTGTTTTATCCAAAGGAGTCTCTAGATGAGCTGAGCACTGTGCATTGCCTATCTGCTATCAGTTAATATTGAGACTGCCTGGCTGCGGTAGCAGAGAAGCCCGAGGGGAGCGGGAGCAGCGCTGCCCTGGGCGAGGCTGGGCCTGGGGGCGGCTGCTGCCGGTGCGCCACAGCCCGGCCGCTGCTGCCGCTGCTGCTCCGGGACAGTGCCCGGGGAGAGTGCCCGGGGAGAGTGCCCCGTTCCTGGGACAGAACCGGGGAGAGTGCCCCGTTACGGGACAGAGCCGGGGACAGTGCCTTGCGGGACAGGGGACAGAGCCGGGGACAGTGCCTTGCTGCCGGGGACAGAGCCAGGGAGAGTGCTCCGTTCCCAGGACAGGGCTGGGGAGAATGCCCCGTTCCCGGGACAGAGATCTGGGGAGAGTGCCCCGCTCCCGGGGCAGAGCTACAGGGAGAATGCCCCGTTCCTGGGACAGAGACGGGGAGAGTGCCCTGTTCCCGGGACAGAGATCTGGGGAGAGTGCCCCGTTCCCGGGGAGAGTGCCCCGTTGCCGGGACAGAGCCGGAGAGAGTGCCCTGTTCCGGGGACAGAGCCCGAGGGAGAGTGCCCCGTTGCTGGGGAGAGTGCCCCGTTCCGGGACAGAGCCATGGAGAGTGCCCCGTTCCCGGGAGAGTGCCCCGCTCCCGGGACAGAGCCGCGGGCCCCGGACTCACCCAGGGCAGCAGCAGCAGCTCCAGCACACGCCTCCAGCTCCGCGGCCTCCCCGGGGCCGCCGTCGCCGAGGGCCCTGACGCGCAGGAACAGCTTCTCCCGGGCCTGCAGGCCCTGCACCCGGCACGAGGTGCTCCCGGCAGGGAGGGTGAAGCACTTGGTCCAGTTGAGGCTGTTACAGGGCCTCATCTCCACCTCGTAGCCTTTCACATCATTCCCGTCTTGTACTTCAGGTTTGTTCCATGTCAGGGTGACACTGGTGCTGTCACTGCTGCTCACTTTAAGGTCCTGCACTTGGCCTGGAGATTCTGAATGAAGAAATTTTATTTAAACTATTTTTCTAGGATTTCTCTTCCCTCTTCAGTCACTGCCTGAGATTCCCAACATTCTTGCAGTGCACTGTATTTCCACCATGCTGTGTTGCCCCACATCTCCGTTTTTCAGAGCTGGATCTGGATCCTTGCTCCTACCAGCCCTGCAGTAACTCCACAACATTCCAAAACACTCTGTGGCTCCTCCTGAGTGTTCTCTACACTGCACATTTTCCCCCCACTGGGGACTGCCAAATCTTGACTTGGACATCCTACAGGAAATCCTTCCATTCCTTCCTCCAGCCAATTCTCAGCCATGAAACATTCCCCAATTACTGATCCTTGTCTCCACATGCTTTTACAGAGGATTTAAGAACATCTCTCCATGAATACCCTGAAAGCACAGGGCAGGGCAGGGCACTTACTGGTGGGGTCCTGGGCAAAGGCAGGCTCTGAGGGGTCACTGGGCTCTCCTGTGCCAGCAGCATTGACAGCTGCCACACGGAACTCGTACTGCACACCCTTCTTGAGGCCAGTCACCTTCAGTTTCTTGTCTGTGGAGAGGAGAGAGGAGAGAGGAGAGAGGAGAGAGGAGAGAGGAGAGAGGAGAGAGGAGAGAGGAGAGAGGAGAGGTGTTGCCTCAGGGAGCTGTTCCCCATCAGGAAAGGTGACACAACAAAGCTGTGCCTTACTTCAGGCAGAATTATGGACGGAAAAACTCTCAGGAGCCATAAAAGCTGTCACTGATTCCCCTGCCATTCCCTAGCCGAGTGCATGTGGTGTTCTGGGATGTGTTCATTGTATTCCTTTCAAAATCAAACAGCCCTTGAATCACAGAATCATTTAGTTGGTAAAGACCTCCAAGGTCATCCATCACCACCTTGATGTGAAAGGTGTGAGATCCAAAGCAGCTCCTAAACCCAGCTGACATTTTTGCCTTTTCAAATCCCCTGGACTGTTCCAGGAGTCAGATACCCACCTTTGACAGGCACGTTGGTGACGGGCAGCCAGGTCACAGTGCCCTTCTTGCGTTTCTGAACAATGTATCCCTTAATTTGGGAAGTGCCAGTTTTACAAGGAGCTTTCCAGGATATGGTGATGGTGTCCTTGCTGGCACTGATAATCTCAGGGCGATCTGGGGCACCAGGGGAACCTACAAAGAGACAAGGGCTTCATTATTAGCAGGTATGTTTTTGTGGCAAGATAAAATGGTGCTGTGTGGAATTTCTTCCAGATTCCCCCAGGTATTCCAATGGATGTGCTTTGAAAACCTGGCTGAGACCTGAAGCTGTGGATCCTGTTCCCCACACAAACTGGATCCAGCATGGACGCTGTTCCTTAGTTTGGATTTCACAAAAGACCTGCTGTCATCCAGACAATTCCTCTGCCAGTGGGGTGTGTCATTCCTACATATGAACAATCAGCATCATTCTTGCTTTCAACAACAGGAATTGGTAACAAAACAGATTTTCTTTGCCCTCTGCTAAAGTGTCCAAGGTACAGAATCATGGGAATGAGAATGGAGAAAGAAGATAATTAGAACGGAACATTGCTCTCTCTAGTACTGCATTTGTGCTCATAGCAAACCTGTTCTAGTATTTAAACTTCTTGAAAGACAAAACCAATATTTAGTTGTTTGGAGATTGGGGGAGTGGAGTGGTCATGCTGTGAAGGGCTGCACATTTAAGTTCTTTTGCCTGTGGAATTAAGGCCTCACATGTTCCCTTTGCAGCCACACTGAGAAAAAATTCTTTTGATCTTGATGCATTTCACATTTCCCCCATGAAACTTCCTTTCCAATCCAAAATAGAGCATGACCAAGCAATAATTACATCTCACTCAACATCAGCAGAGCCTACAACAAACTGCTGCTCCTGCTGGGCAACCTCCACAGCTTTGTGTGGAGACTGAAGTTGAGATCTGTAGCAACATCCACAATGCAGTGAGTTTCCTCTGACGTCAGCTTTGATAATGAATTTACCAATTTGAATTATGAATTATGAGAAGTTCTCCTCACCTTTACCAGCAGCCTTCACTTCCCCTGACTCCAGCGCATCGCTCACTCCCTCGGCATTCACGGCCCTCACCCTGAAGTAGTAGCTCATCTCTTCCTCCACTTTGTTTGTGGTGAAGCTGGTGCAGCTCCTGGGGGTTTCTCCCAGAGTCTCCCAGTCGTTCCTGCCCACCTGCTGCCTCTCCACGAGGTACCTCTGCACTGGTTTGCCCCCGTCGTCCTTTGGGGGCTTCCACTGGATTGTGATGTTGTCGGCGGAGCTTTCGACAATTTTGATGGGTCCTGCTGGAGGCTGTGGCTTGTCTGGAAAGATGAACAGAGACACAGCTGGCTCCAGACCCAGACCTGCTCCTGGGTTTGGAGCAGACACTGCCCCTTGCCCACCAGCTTGGAGACTGTTTGTGATGAAATGCAGGAACAGTTATAGGATGAGGGCTGGGCATGTGAATTGCCTCTTCCAAACTTGACCTCTTCTAACTTTTGATGGAGAAGACAGAAAGCCAGGCCCTTGCTCTCCCTGGGCCAATGTTCTCATAAGAATTGCACCAGTTCAGCTTGCTAAAACAGGCAAAACATAATTTCTGGTCTCCCAAAGGAGTCCAGACATTTATGGGAGGGCTGAATTGGACCTTGATATCCTATTTCAGATTTGTATGTTGTGTACAGTCACATCTCCCACAGTGTCTGAACACCCAAAACTCAGCTGCTTAGGCCATGAAAAACCAAACCAGGTTTGTTTTCCCTTTTACTAAAGGGCATGAAGCATGTTCAGCAATCCTTCCTTGTACCTGATTTTGGGGCAATATACAGAGTCTTGTTCCTTTCTAAATACCCAGTCACTCCAAACAAGGTTGTCACCAGTGTCAATGGATTCCCTGCCTAAGCTTTACAGTGAAAGCCAGAGTGAATGTTATAGGACCTTACCTATCACCATGAGCTTTAGGTTGATCTCCAGGACACCACTGTCGTTCTTGAGCCTGACTTTGTAATCCCCACAGTCCCTCCTGTCGCAGCTGGAGATGGACAGCGTGGTGCAGGTGTCTGTCTTGTCCACACGGATCCTGGAGTCATCGCCCAGCTCCATCCTGTCCTTCAGCCACGCTGCCCTGATGGGCCCCCGACCCTCGAAGGGGATCCGCAGCTTCACCCCCTCCCCGGCCTTGGCCACCGTGGGGACACTGGTCAAGTTCTTGAGGACAACTTTGTCCACCTGGGGAGGATCTAAGCAGGTGATACAAGGTCATTAAAAACCACAATTCAAGGAGGATAAGGTTCACCTTGGAGAGAAGGGAACCCGTCATGGTGCTGCCAGCAATGCTTAGAAGCTCACAACTCTTAGATATGAACCTTTAGTTGTACTTTGCTACAGGATAATTATCACAAAATTTTGTGGTATCACACTGTCCTTTCACTGGAGAATATTTCTCATAGGCAACACACTAAACACAAGAAAGAAGAGTCTGCCCTGGTAAAGTGTTTTGTGCACCCCAGAAATATTTGAGTTGCTGGCAGAAGGGTCCTTAGTTAAATTTGCAAATGCAAAATGAACCAACCTGTACAAAAAACATTTCCCATTTATCTTGTAATTCTTTATAACAAATTTATCTCAATAACCAATAACATGTCTCTGAGTAAATATATTACATTTAAAGCCCATCTCATGCTGCCTTGGTGGTTTGAGTAGACTCACCTTCAACAAAAATTGAAGCTTCAGTTTTTACATCTCCACCTTCAAACCTGTATTTCCCAGCATGAATATTTTCAACCTTGTTGATGATCAGTTTGTGGACAAGACCTTTCTTTTCAAATACAACTCCATCCATGCTTGTTAACTACAAAGTAAAGGAGAGAGACCCATCCTTTTAAAAAAAAAGTAAAAAATGCAATCCATACTAAAACTGGACAGACTACAATTTGAAATGCAGTTGAAAAGATTTGGGAATGTCATGCATATTTAATGACAATATTCTGGTATTCTGTTGCCCAGAGAAGCTGTGGCTGCCCTGTCCCTGGAAGTGTCCAAGGCCAGGTTGGACAAGGCTTGGTCTAGTGGAAGGTATCTCTGCCCAGGGCAGGGGTGGGACTGGATGACCCTTAAGGTCCCTTCCAACCCAAACCACTCTGGGATTCTGGGAACCCTTCCAGGGCCCCACTCAGATGCAGGTGGCTGTCAGGGGGAAGGACACCTTGACAGCATCCTTAGGAAGTAGAGCCAGAGAGCAGAGCATTGCTACCCAAAGCCAACACCAAGCTTAGGAACCCACCTTCAGGCCATCCTTGAACCAGGTTCCTGTCACGTTGTCCCTGCTGACCGTGCAGGACAGCTCAGCCGGGTCCCCCTTCAGCACCCGCACGGTCGCCAGCTGCTTGTTGAGGTAACAGCGCGGGACTGAACAGCACAAAGGAAGGGAAAGAGGCTAAGTCTGTGCTACAGAGAGATACCCAGAGCTGGAAATGCATGTGCATGTGAGGTGAAAAGAGCTTTTAAAAAAAAAGGTCCTCTGGTCAGGAGAGGCTTTTGTGCCACCTCGCTGTGGGCCAGCTGGATACACCCAGTGCCTTGAGGACCATCCCAACATCAACTGTATCCCAGTATCCACTTCATGGGCAATGGATTCACCACAAATCACATTATCCAGCTGTGGATTTGCTAGTTTATGTCTATGCTAATCATCTTGGCTCCCTCTACAGCCAGTGGAAAAAAACAGGCTGCTCGAGGGTGTGAATATACTGCTTCATCCTCCTCTTCCTCTGCACTGACCACACATGGGGCTGTCCAACATATCCCCCTAAACAGCCCCAGGCACACTGTTCTCCACCCTTGTATTCCTCTTTCTCTTCCCAAGTTCTCTCCATTACCATCACAATCTCCTCTCTAATATATACCCCACTCCTTCCTCCTGAACCCCAGCTTTGATGATTTTACTTCCTTGTTTATATTTATGATTTAGCAATGATAATTCCTAACTTGTGAACCATCCCATTAGGTCAATATTCCCCTCTTATTATACACCTGAAATTTCTAATGCCTACAATTTTCACATCATCATCTTGTTGGTGGAGCCACAGGTTTTACTCAAATGACTGCAAACACATTACTCCCCTCTTATTCTATGCAACACCTTACTATTCCTGATGTTACAAGAGAAAAGAGCTCTTTACATTATATAATCCCATATATGCAGGCACAGAATTGTTCCCAGAACTTAGAAAACACAATTCTTTACAGTAGGTGTTTGAAAAATAAAGTGAAAGCTTCAGTTTTGAATTAGAAAAGTGTCAAAGAAACATGATGATATTCCTTGAAACTTTATGGGAACTGGGATGTTTGTGAACTGGTCTGTTCCATGATATGTGAAACACAAATGAAGAGATGAGACCTGGTTCAGATCATTTAGACAAAGAAAGTAATTTAGACCTTTAAGGCAGTTTGATCAGAGCACACTGTGTACGATCAAGCAGCCAATCAGTGGGAGAATTAGGAACAGATCATGGGACAACCAGATTTCTATAGAGTTGTGTTTATCTAAACCATAACATCCAATTTCTTTTCAGGATTAGGGATGTGAGTATCAAAATGCAAAGACCAGAAGTCACCAGTTAAACACGTACCTTTGATATCATCCAGGACACTCCGTCTCTTTTGTTTGCTTTCCGTCTTGTTCAGGGAATCATTTGCTTTAAGATCCAGGTCAGGTTCCTGGTTTCTCTGGTTTGCTGAAGGAGGTCCACCGAAAGGACCTGACACCTGGCCATAACTCAGTGGACCTTGACCAAACCCACCTGAGCTACTCCCATCAACAGATCTGTCATGGGATTTACTCCCTGCCTCTCCAAAGGCAGAGTAAAGGGAGCCCAACTGTGTGAAATCTCCTCCCTCTCCCCTGGCTCCTCCTGGACCTGACAGGGACCCTCTGTCACCAGCTGAACCTTTGTTCCCTGGCCCTCTGACATCACTGGCAGCACCCTTTCCAGTTTCAGCTCTCAAAGATCTGCCAAGATGTGCATCCAGCCCATATTCTCCTCCTGGGCCACCAGCAGCTCCCACACCTCCTTTACCACCGACTGAATCCCATCCATCCCCTCCCAGCCTCCCAGCTCCACCTGCACCAGCTGTGGCTACACCTGACCCTCTGTCCTCGCCATAGGGAGACCCTGCACCCCACAGGGCAGAGCCTTCCCTGGAAAAGCCCTCTCCTCCTGCTCCACCTGCATACCCCGGAGCTCTGCTCAGCATGGCATCCATGCCACGGCCCAATCCCCTCGCTTCCTCACCTCCAAGAGGAAAATGGGCAGCTCCTGCCACAGCCCCAGCTGGGAGACCATCCTTTCCATAGGGACCCCCAACACTCCCTGCCCCACCAGCTACACCAACACCAGCTCCAACTGGGAGACCATCCTTTCCATAGGGACCCCCAACACTCCCTGCCCCACCAGCTACACCAACACCAGCTCCAACTGGGAGACCATCCTTTCCATAGGGACCCCCAACAGCCCCTGCCCCACCTGCTCCAACTGGGAGACCATCCTTTCCATAGGGACCCCCAACACCCCCTGCACCACCAATACCAGCTCCAACTGGGAGACCATCCTTTCCATAGGGACCCCCAACACTCCCTGCACCACCTGCTCCCACTGGGAGACCATCCTTTCCATAGGGAGTTCCAATATCCCCTGCACCACCAACACCAGCTCCAGCTGGGAGAACATCCTTTACATAGGGACCCCCAACAGCCCCTGCCCCACCAGCTACACCAGCACCTGCTCCAACTGGCAGACCATCCTTTCCATAGGGACCCCCAACAATCCCTGCACCACCACCACTCCCAATTGGAACACCATCCTTTCCATAGGGAGATCCAACTTCCCCTTCACCACCAGCCCCACCAACACCAGCTCCAACTGGGAGACCATCCTTTCCATAGGGACCCCCAACACCTGCTGCACCACCAACACCAGCACCTGCTCCAATTGGCAGACCATCCTTTCCATAGGGACCTCCAACACCCCCTGCACCACCAGCCCCACCAGCACCTGCTCCAGCTGGGAGACCATCCTTTCCATAGGGAGCTCCAATTCCCCTGGCGCTCGCAGAACCAGCAGCACCAACACCTGCTCCAAGTGGCCGACCATCTGGGCCATACAAAGCCTCTCCTGCACCAGCTCCACCAGCTCCAACTGGGAGACCATCCTTCCCATAGGGAGATCCAAATCCCCCTGCACCACCAGCCCCACCAGCACCTGCTCCAGCTGGGAGACCATCCTTTCCATAGGAACCCCCAACTCCCCCTGCACCACTAACACCAACACCTGCTCCAGCTGGGAGACCATCCTTCCCATAGGGAGTTCCAGGTCCCCCGGTACCAACACCACCAAAACCATCTCCAACTGGGAGACCATCCTTTCCATAGGGACCCCTAACTCCTCCTGCCCCACCAGCTCCACCAGTACCTGCTCCAAGTGGCCGACCATCTGGGCCATACAAAGCCTCTCCAGCACCAGCTCCACCACTCCCAACTGGGAGACCATCCTTCCCATAGGGAGATCCAAATCCCCCTGCACCACCAGCCCCACCAGCACCTGCTCCAAGTGGCCGACCATCTGGGCCATACAAAGCCTCTCCAAGTCCTCCTACACCAGTTCCACTAACTCCAGCTGGGAGACCATCCTTCCCATAGGGAGATCCAAGTCCCCCTGTACCACCAGCCCCATCAGCACCTGCTCCAACTGGCAGACCATCCTTTCCATACGGAATTCCAAATCCCCCTGCACCAGCCCCACCAACACCTGCTCCAAGTGGCCGACCATCTGGGCCGTACAAAGCCTCTCCTGCACCAGCTCCACCAGCTCCAACTGGGAGACCATCCTTCCCATAGGGACCTCCAACACCCCCTGCACCACCACCACTCCCAACTGGGAGACCATCCTTCCCATAGGGAGATCCAAATCCCCCTGCACCAGCACCAGCACCAACACCTGCTCCAAGTGGCCGACCATCTGGACCATACAAAGCCTCTCCAAGTCCTACACCAGTTCCACCAGCTCCAGCTGGGAGACCATCCTTCCTATAGGGAGATCCAAATCCCCCTGCACCAGTACCACCACCAGCAACAACACCTGCTCCAAGTGGCCGACCATCATACAAAGCCTCCCCAAATCCTCCTGCACCACCAGCACCTGCTCCAGCTGGGAGACCATCCTTCCCATAGGGAGCTCTAAATCCCCCTGCACCAGCCCCAGCACCAACACCTGCCCCAAGTGGCCGACCATCTGGACCATACAAAGCCTCTCCAAATCCTCCTGCACCAGCTCCACCAGCCCCAGCTGGGAGACCATCCTTCCCATAGGGAGACCCAAATCCCCCTGCACTACCAACCCCACCAGCACCACCAGCACCTGCTCCCAGCGCCTGACCATCTGGACCATACAAAGCCTCCATTTCTCCTGTGGAATTGCCACCTCTACCAGGTATAGCTCCATCTCCACCTGGAAGGCCTCCTGGCCCATACAATGAGCCAGATCTTCCTGTCTGCCCTAACTGACCACTGGCATGAGGAGTCAGGCCATCCTTGCCATAGGGAGTCCCTGTTTGTCTCTCTCTGTTTATACCTGCTCCATTCATATCACCCACAGTGGCATGCCCATCCTTGCCATAGTGAGACCACAATCCTCCTGCCATTCCAGCACTTGCAGCATTCCCCACAGCTCCAGTTCCTGGACCAGTCCTGCTGAACAGATCACCCACACTGGCTCCCACTCCAGTTGAATCAGGATCAAGCCCATCTGGCACAGCACTTCCACCACCCAACCTCCCAGCACCCCCAAAACCAGCTCTGTAATTGGCATCACCTAAATTCCCATCCTTGTCATGCTGAGAGCCCAAACCTTCTCCATCACCCATGTCAATGTCAACAGCACTCAGCAAACCTTCACCTCTGCCATCTACAGAATTCCGTTCACCTGCCCCTCCTCCTGCACCACCAGGACCTGCAGTGCCTGACACAGAGTCCATGCCATGGACAGCCCTTAACCCACTTCTGCCCCCTTTTAGTCCAAAGATGCTGCCATCATTGGCTGCTGAGTCTCCATCTAGACCTGCTCCAGAAAACTGCCCAGGCCCCATCTCTCCATTCATGTGGGTTTTGCGTAGCCCTTCTTTTCCCAAAAAAAATTGGCTTCCATCTCCAGAGTCAAGGGAGTGTGCTTGGCCCCTGCCTTGGCTGCTGCCTTGACCTGTTCTGCGCCAGCCACTTTTCTCCCCAGGAGAGGATGTGGAGAAGGAAGCACGCTCTTCAGCAGCAGCTTGCTCCTGGCGCCGAAGCTTCCTCGCCCTTTCGTTGTCTGCCATTGTTTCTTTCAGCCACTCAGATGTTTCCCTTACAATCTTTTCTTCTTCATCCTGACTCCTCTTTCCTTTGGCATCTGAAGTTGCATTGTTCCATGGCAGCAGATTTACAATACACAGAAAAAGAGGGGAACAAAATAACAGAAAATCAATAGGACATGCACTGCATCAACAACCAAAGAAAATGTGTTAGCACTTTTTGAATTTCATTTTAGGACACACACACACACAATATATTTAAATAAATTTAAAATAATTTCAAATCCTGAATTTTTCAATGCCACATTGAGACAATGAAATGTTAGTTAAAGACAATTATTTTTAGTTAAAACACATTGTTTTTTAATGGAAACATGCTCATTATAACAAACAAACAAATCAACCAAAAATAACAGAAAAAGAGACTTCCAGCATGGCAGGTCTGATTTAGAGGGGCTGAGATTGTATGTGGGATTCATTAATTCCATCTGCCTTCACCTTCCAGATATGGAGGAGTTACAGAATATTCCATGCACAGAGGAGTCATCAGTTCCCACCCTGGAACTGGGATTTCACTGCTCTGGAGGCAGCTTGCACATCTGGATAATGGCTGGTTTAGGGATGCCAAACATGAGGACTAAAGCTTTCAGATATGTGAATAGCTTTGGATTAATCTGAAATTCAGGCTATTCTGAGAGCAGGTCACTCACTGCTTTGGTTTCCAGGTCAGATATAATTTATCAGAGCTCACTGAAATCCACAGGAAGTTTCTTTGTTTCAGAAACCTACATTGCTTTGGGGAGGCCTTTGTGAGAGAGACCCCTCCTGCTGCTGCAGGAGGATCCCAAAGGAAACCAAAGTCAAAGGGAAGCAAAGGAACTACCCTTCATAACAAGCAAATGTAAACCAGGTGACTGTCAATATGCCTGCACTGTGTTCCCACCTTCCCAGCTTCCTCTGAGCTCCTTCCAGCAGGTTTAACTCTAACTGGGAATGAAAAACATTATTTAACAAGAAGAATGGTATTGATGTGTAGAACTGACAGTATCAAAAGCTCCCTGAGCCCCCGCCTGCTGCACTGTGATCCCTGGGACAGCTTCCTCAAAAACATGTGTGGAGATAGGGAGCATTTTTCCAATAACTGATGGAGAATGTTCTACTTCATCATAGCTGTAGAGCAAACAAGCTAATAGGATTAGTCAGGACTAATTAAAAGGGGAAAAGTTGGTCTCATATGAAGAGGAAAGAGGGTCTAGCCAGCCATTCATTTTTCCAGACAGGATTTAGAGTCATGGAATCACAAAATGGTTTGGATGGGAAGGGACCTTAAGACTCATCCCATTCCATCCCCTGCCACGGCAGAGACACCTTCCACTGTCCCAGGCTGCTCCAAGCCCCATCCAGCCTGGCCTTGGGCACTGCCAGGGATGGAGCAACCACAGTCTCTCTGGGCACCTGTGCCAGGGCCTCCCCACCCTCTCAGCCAAGAATTCCTTCTCAATATCCCATCTAACCCTGTCCTCAGGCAGTGGGAAGCCATTCTCCTTGTCCTGTCCCTCCATCCCTTTGTTCCAAAGTCCCTCTGCAGTTCTGGATCCCCTTTAGGCCCTGGAAAGGGCTCCAAGGTCTCCCTGGACTCTCTTCTCCACACTGAACACCTCCAGTTTTCTCAGCCATGATTTCGGAATTAGAGGTTCAGCAATTCATTTCCCAGCAGAGCAACATCTCCCTGAGCCATCATGCAGTGAGAAGAATGTTTTGTGCCAACACACCACGGGAGCACCCCGCTGCCAAGCACTCACACTCCACGAGGAGCCAGGCGCTGGAGGAGCCCTGTCCCGCGTCGAGCGTGTACAGGCCGCTGTCCGAGGGCCCCACGTTCCTCACGGTCAGCTTGTGGCTTAGGCCATCGGGTGTCACAGACATCTGGTGCTTGTCACTGGCCTGGAGGGGGCAGCTTTTGTGCAGCCACAGGGGCTGGTGGCAGGGCGTGCACAGCACACACTGGAACTCAGCGTCGCCGGCCTCGGCACAGCGGACGTCGGAGAGCGGCTGCCGGAACCGCGCCGGGATGGCTGCAGGGAAACCGAGAGCTATGGGAAGGAAACAGCTCCTGTGCTGCAGGGAAACTGTTACAGCTGATGGAAGAAACAACAGGAAGTTGTGGTGCCTCTGAGCATCGGGTTACTGAGAAAAAGGAAAAGCTCGGATGTGCTTTTGTGCCCAATTCCGCAGAAAAGCAGATTTTTGTCTTTATTATCTTCTGAGACATTTGTACCTCACAGCATGGATGTGCTGCCAGTCTGTTATAGTAGTAGTAAAATATCTGTATTGTATTTGAATATCTGTATATACACCTTGCCCTGATAAGCCCCGGATGTTCTAAATGGGCTGCAGCTGTGATGTCCTTAATTGGGTGGCAGCTGTGGCTAGTGAAGATAACTGTGATAAAAGAGGGTGTGCTTGGCCAGTCAGGGAGAGCCTGGAAGGAGCCCTGACGAAGAAGCAGCAACAAGCAGAAGAAGAAGTCTGTGCTGTGAAGAACTGCCCCCCAAGAAATATCACTGAGAAAGTAAGGGACTTTAGAAATATGATTGTGACAGTATGGGACTCTAGAAATATGAATACAACAGTCTGTAGTCTTTGATGTGTTCCTGCAGTACAATACTTGGATTGAATTTGTTGTTATTATTCTGAGCTCACACAAGCAAACTGTAATGTGGGGTAGGTTAAGGAGTGTGCTCGCTGTCACCCACAGCCACACTGGTGCTCGAGGTTAGGCCTGCTCCCTGGGACTGCAGATGCAGCACCTAAAGCATTTAATCACCCTCCTGCTCCTTTTCACCTGTGCCAGACAAGGAGCCCTTACTGGGCCCAAAAAACTTTTGTCACAGTTGCACACCAAAACCATCAAACCGAATTCCTTACCTTGAGCATCCAGTTCGGTTGAGAAGACAGGGACGTCCTCCACCCTGACCTGGTAGACGCCCGCGTCCTCGGGCTGCGCGTCGTTGATGGTGAAGCAGTACCGCCGGCCCACCCGCCGCAGGCCGTGCTTCCTGTACTCGTCCCCGGTGCCGTAGCGGAGCCGCTCGCCGTCCTGCAGGGAGGGCAGGGAGGGAGCAGTGTCCACAGAGCTCATCAGTGCCAGGCATCTCAAACACATCAGGACAGGCTGGTGCTACAATCCCCTTGTTGATATAAATGAGTGACCTCACCGTGCCCAGGGCTCTTTGCAGTACACAGGCACTGTCTGGGCAGTGAATCCTGCACTGAGCAGGGCACCAGGCTCTGAAACTCAGCAAAACAGCAGCTCTTGGCTACCCACATAAGGGTCTGAAGCTTAATTAATACACAGTCCTTGCAGCTACAAAGACAAAGCACTTTCTATTCTAGATTTCAGCATCCTCCTAGCTGGATGAGCAGGAGAGTTCACCACTTTCTGTAACAGACTTGGGTTACGTTGTCCCAACGTATGGCTCATCGACTTCAAGTCATATATTTGGTCCAGAAGATTCATAGTTAGTCTGCTCTCCCCCTCAGGGCATTCTGATTTCCCCTGGATTAAAGCCTCTAACCACAATTTGACTAAAAATTATCTTTCAGAAAAACACACCTGGCACTGAGCACCTGCAGATTCCATCTGTGGGACTATGGATCTAGAGGGAATGTTTTACATCTCTGAGATCTTCTTCCACAGAGGGAGTTATAGTGCAATAACATGCAATAACACACTTGAGAAAGTGAATAAAATTTATATGAAACTGCAGAATTTCTGCAGCCTGAAAGACACTGTTGGGGTGATGGTCTTAAACTGAAGGAGGGTCAGGTTAGATATAACAAAGTGGGTGGGGAGGCCCTGGCACAGGTTGCCCAGAGCAGCTGTGGCTGCTCCATCCCTGGAAGTGTCCAAGGGCACGTTGGACAGGGCATGGAGCAACCTGGGCTAGTGGAAGGTCTCCCTTTTGAATGTTTTAAGGTCGCTTGACCTTTAAAAGGTCCCTTCCAACCCAGCTGTTCTATGAATTTCCTGAAGAAACAAGGATGTCAGTGACTGCATGCTCTGTACTTGAATCTACAAATCCACAGGGATGTCCACCACCAAAGCTCACCCCACACCCACACTGCTCCCTAACCAAGCAGGCATCTGCAAAAGACAGACAACCTTAAGGCATTTATTTACTCTCAGCCACTGCCCAGCAGATGAAGCCTTTTCTGTGGAACACTGGAGGGGCTGCTCTGAGCTGCAGCTGCCCCACTCATGCCCCTCACCTTGAGCAGGTAAACGTTGCTGTTGCTGTTTTTCAGCTCCATCTCCAGGCTGAACGTAGCATTTCCCTCCTTGTTGACTCTGATGTGTTCAAAGTTTTTGAGACTGTGAACTAACTGCAAAGAAATATTGAAGAACCTAGTAAATGGTAAAGCTGCCATGACAAAAGTTCTTAAGCTGTTGAATTAACGTGAAATCTACTTTAATGGGCTACCTCTAACATTATGTAGTAGAAGTATCTGTAAGTCACAGTTCTGGTACAGTGAGTTGCAGTGTCTGTAAGTTGCCACAGTTTCCTCCTGTGTATAAATTATTTTTTATGTGTTGCCTCCAGGTCACTCCCACACTGTCCATCCAGGTCTCTACATGCCCCTGGTATGTGAAGACCAATTTTTACTTTTGGACATATAATTTTTAATTTGGCATCCAAATTCTCATCAGCGACAACTGCATAACCCTGTGGTAGTATCTCCTAAAATCTGTGAACTGAGCTTCAAAAAATTCATTAGCATTTTTGCCTGCATGAGTAAAAGAAGTGGAACTTCTTTAAAATATTGTCATAAATCACTGTCACATAACAAAATTTTCATCTCCAAAGCAATTTAGAAAAATATAGCCTGTTTTCAGAAGCTTCAATTTCTTAAAAATGAGTGGTTTCAGTTTATTTACCTTGTCTTGCTCACTCTCTGTTTCTTTCCTCATCTCCTGCAGCTTCCTCAGCATCCCACGGAAGTCAGCAATTCCATATTTTATACAGATTTTCTCATAATCTCTCCTATCTGCATTCAGCAGCAGCTGCCACACAGCTTCTTTGTCCAGGGGCTTGGGTTTTGGTGCTGCAGCCCTGAGAACCAGGGGGGAACCATTCAGACATTTTCACAGACAACAAGATGTCCTGGTTTTTTATCCCTAGTTCTCTTTCATCTCCATCATTCCTGTAGTTCACTTGGCCCTGTAGGTGCAGGCAGGAAAGACTGGGACTCTTCCAGAGCAGGTTTTCTGCATCTGTACTACAAATTAAATGGTGCCAGAGAACAACTTCCACCCTGCTGAATTATCACCAGAGGGTCTGGCACAGTATGGCCCAGGCCAGGTAACTGCCTAGCACAGCTCAGGACTCTCACAGAGATCATTATCAGCAGGCTTGGAGCTTCCCACCTGGGAAGGGAAGGGAAGGGAAAGGAAGGGAAGGGAAGGGAAGGGAAGGTTTGGGAAGGTTTGGGAAGGGAAGGGAAGGTTTGGGAAGGGAAAGGAAGGGAAGGTTTGGGAAGGGAAGGGAAGGGAAGGTTTGGGAAGGGAAGGTTTGGGAAGGGAAGGTTTGGGAAGGTTTGGGAAGGTTTGGGAAGGGAAGGGAAGGTTTGGGAAGGGAAGGTTTGGGAAGGTTTGGGAAGGTTTGGGAAGGTTTGGGAAGGGAAGGGAAGGGAAGGGAAGGGAAGGGAAGGGAAGGGAAGGTTTGGGAAGGGAAGGGAAGGGAAGGGAAGGTTTGGGAAGGGAAAGGAAGGGAAGGGAAGGGAAGGGAAGGTTTGGGAAGGGAAGGGAAGGGAAGGTTTGGGAAGGTTTGGGAAGGGAAAGGAAGGGAAGGTTTGGGAAGGTTTGGGAAGGTTTGGGAAGGGAAGGGAAGGTTTGGGAAGGTTTGGGAAGGGAAGGTTTGGGAAGGTTTGGGAAGGTTTGGGAAGGTTTGGGAAGGGAAGGTTTGGGAAGGTTTGGGAAGGTTTGGGAAGGTTTGGGAAGGTTTGGGAAGGGAAGGTTTGGGAAGGGAAGGTTTGGGAAGGGAAGGGAAGGTTTGGGAAGGGAAGGTTTGGGAAGGGAAGGTTTGGGAAGGGAAGGTTTGGGAAGGGAAGGGAAGGGAAGGGAAGGGAAGGGAAGGGAAGGGAAGGGAAGGGAAGGGAAGGGAAGGGAAGGGAAGGGAAGGGAAGGATTGTGCCCTGTGCACCTGGCAGTGCAGCTGGGCTGGCAGCCAGAGCCAGCAATGCATGAGGAGCTGTCCTTTGGACAGGGAGCCACTCGTGAGCTAAACACAGGGAAGCAGAGAAACACAGCCTCCCTTCAGAGCCTCGTGGTGCAGAGGAAATACCCCTCCAAATGAGGCTGCAATCTTGTGTTGATCTCAGTCCAGCTGGCAGGGCCAAGCTGTTCTGGCCTGTCTCTCCACAGGGAGTCTCACCACAACTTTGGACACAAGAAGTGTTGCCCTGAAGGTCTCTGGAGCTGTCCCCTAGGACTGAGAAATGTCCAGAAGTGGGAGCATGGCCCTCACTCCAGAGCCTTACCTCTTCCTCAGCCTCTTCCTGGAGTCCTGGAGTGTCTTCTTGAGCTCTGTTACAAGGGTGGGAGAAGCAACAGTCACACAGCCAGCACTGTGAAATAAATCTCTCCAAAGAAGATAATGCAGAATAGCCACTGACAACAGGTTTTTCTGCTGAGATCTCTGATGTTTTTTCACATTTTACCAAAAATCTGTCATGAAATTTAGTCAGTTCTCACTGCCATGCTCATCCTTTGAGTGCCAGTGAAGTTCATCTCTCCCTAAAGCTTTTCCCTCTTGAGACCCACTGTTTTCAGCCATGTTAACAAGTTTGATCCAGATGTGTTTAACATCCCCAAATCCCTTTTTCCTTTCCTAATGATTCCACAATCACTAATTAGAACAGCCCAAAACTGTGTCTAAAAGCATCACTTTAGCAAAAGGTAAAGAGCAGGCAGACAGAGATGGCAGAACATTAAAGGCTCATTAATCCTTCTCTTACTCCAGTCTTTACAAGTTTGGGGTAGCAATAGTGTGGCAGAGAGAGTATTTGTCTCTCTGCTCCCTCCCAGTAATATATTACACAAATAGATCTTTAACTTACCATCAGCAGCATGAACAGGAACATATTTTGCCTTCCTCTTAAAGCCAACTGATCATTTATAAAACAGAAGGAAAAAAAGCCACAGGATGAACAAGATTAGATTAACAGCAGTGAACCAATGAGCCATGAAACCACTGTATCTGTTACCAGTGCAAGAGGGAATCCCAGTTTGGATTTCTTGGTCAATCTGATGTTTGCTCCCAGTAAACTCCATCTATAAAGGTGATATTTCTATTGCCATTTACTCTGTGTTTGTGCAGACTCCACACAGAGAGGAGAGCATTTTTGCCCTACCAATTTTATGGTCTAAGCAATGGGAGGAAATATCAACATCTTGTGTTAGAGATGGGAAGCCAGGGTGGAAATGGCAACTGCAGATAGGTGCCTTCTAAACTTCTAACCTTGAAAGGCACAGAGGTGACAGGGACACTTCAGATATAATCCATCTTCTGCTCAAGTGGATCCCAAGAAAATCAGCTATATCTGACCCACCAAGTGCCCATTTCTCTGCACTGACTGTGACACAAGAAGGAATGAGGTGCAGAGACAGCCACAGAGGGATGGAACCCTCCCAAAGGGCTGATTCATTCAACACCATAGAGAAAGGGCTGGGGCAGTTCAGCAGTAAACCAGAGTGTCTGATTATGGACCAGTGCAGTGAGCACAATTCCACTTTCCTCCCCCTTGCCTTAAAGCTCACAGTGTTAGGGAGCCACCAAAAGATCTGCAGTCTTCAATGAGGAGAACACCAAACCTTCACACCAAGAATGCCCAGACAGAGTCCAGCCAGCCCAGGGAACAGCACAGCACAGCCTGTGGAGCTGCCAGTCCTACCTTGGAGGATCCTGAGGCCAGCAGAGCACGAGGCCTCTCCGTAGGCATTGACAGCACAGCAGCGATACAAGTCACTGTCACCCGGAGCCAGGCTCTTGATCTGCAAAGGGAGAGCACAGAAACCGCTCACACAAAGGGCTGGCGTTCAGTTCACCTTCAGCTTCTCATAAAGCAGCTACTCAGTGGCACCTCAGAGGCTTCTTCTGTTCCCAGAAGGACTCTAAAAAGCTTTGTTTGCTTATTTTTGTGATATCTCAGAGCTGGGGATGTGTAGAATCATGGAATACCCTGAGTTTGAAGGGAGCACAGGATCATCCAGTCTAGCACCTGGATAGGACACTCACAACAAACCCACCCTGGGCATCCCTGCCCAAACACTCCTGGAGCTCTGGCAGCCTCGGGGCCGTGCCCATTCCCTGGGGAGCCTGGGCAGTGCCAGCACCCTCTGGGGGAAGAGCCTTTCCTGATACCCAGCCTGACCCTGCCCTGGCACAGCTCCAGCCCTTCCCTGGGGTCCTGTCCCTGCTCACAGAGAGCAGAGATTGGAGCTGTCCCTCTGCTTCCCCTCATCCCACTGCAGGTTTTTCTTGTCCATTTCTCTCAGTTCCACAAGTCCTTTCTGAAATATTTGATTTTTACCTGCAGAATGAATTCATTTGTAGCACTATTGAAGGACATTTGATATTTGGCAGGATCATCCATTCCTTTCTGTGTACGTGACCATTTCACCTCAGGAGCTGGGACACCTTTGACCACAGCTCTGAAAATGGCATCTTTACCTTTGAAAAGAAACAAGGATTTAGTTATTTAAGACAGGCTTGAACATGAGGACTCTCAGGCCTGGCCCCTTTTCTTATCAAGAGTTATCCCCAGAGTGAGCAATTTCTGTTATTTTATGCAGAAACATTCTTCAAAACAAACATCTTTTGCACATCAATAATTCAGGTTTTGTGTGTATTCAATCATAAAAGGCCTTTAAAACGTGGCATTACCCTGCCAGATGTGGCTGCTGACATCTCTGACCATCACTGAAATCAGAAGCCTGACAAGCAACTTCAACCCAGACTTGCTTTTTACCCATGAAATGTCCAAATCCCTTCTCATCACACATATTCTTTATCAAATCCCACTGTTTCTCCGATCTTTAACTGGCACCACCTTGCACTCCAAACCCACCAGGCACTGCTGTTTGAAGAGACAAGGGAGGGAGAAGAGAAGGAGGTTCCTCTCCATCCCTGCTCCCCAGGAGCCTGAGCCACAGAAACCTCCAGCAGCTTTCCCACTGCCCAGAACAAACCTCTTCTCCAACAGGCTCCAGAACCACAGGGAACACTGGGAAACAAGTCAGAGAAGTGACTTGTGGGAGTGAGTGGGAGCAGGAATGGAGGTGAGTTATCCATGGAAACACCTCAGGGTGGAAATGATCACTCTCTCTTACTTTTTAATACTCTTGCTCTTCAGGTGAGCAACACTGTTAAAGATTCTCCCTGGAAAGTCTGGCAATATTTCTCACACCTTTCTGCAGTCACCAGCACCAAACTTATTTGATGGAACATGTTCCTGCCAGCAGATCCTTATCAAAAGACCTTTTCCAGCCTTTGAGATTGCAGTGCTATCTCTCATTGAAGTCTGATTGCAGTTTGTTATCCCTGTAGTACATTTTAGCCACTTTGGCTGCACTTTCCCAGGCTGGCCACAGACCACCCAGCCAGAAGAATCAGCTCAGCCATGCACTGAACACAGTGGGGTGATGGCAGAGTTAAAGGCCCTCGTGGTGCCTCTACACAGGCACAGAATTACAGTGACCAACATGAGTGCACAAAGAACCTGCTGGAAATGAAGTAACTTGGAAAATTTACACAGGTGAAAATATAGACAGGTGAAAACTTAGCAGGCTGAAACGTGCAGGTGGAGGAGGAGGAAGAGGGACAGGTTCCACTAGAGGCCACTGTGCTCCTTCATAAAACCTCAGTGGCTTCTGGAAATCCACAGGTCAGTGTGGAACACCAAAATCCAAGCTGCTGGTTCAGTCCTGGCAGGGAAGAGGAGCTACACGATGTTCTCAGGCCACTCCACACCAACAAAAAAGAAAACAAAAGGACTCTCTGCAGGTGCACAGAGACACCTCTGGGAGGCTCTTCACTGATTCCATTTATTGATTCATCAGCTGCCTGCTCTGTGCTCTATGCAAGATCCTTACCTTGTTCCTTACAGAATCATCACAGATTCTGTAATGGAATGACCTGGCTAGGAGGGACCTCAAAGCCCATCTCATTCCACCCTCTGCCATGGGCAGGGACCCCTTCCACTATCCCAGGGTGCTCCAAGCCCTGTCCAGCCTGGCCTCAGACATTTCCAGAGATCCAGGGGCAGCCACAGCTTCTCTGGGCACCCTGTGCCAGGGCCTGCCCACCCTCACAGCCAAGAATTCCTTCTCAATATCCCATCTAACCCTGCCCTCTGGCAATGGGAAGCCATTCCACTTGTCCTGGCACTGCAGGCCCTTGTCCATCTCTCCTGGAGTCCTTTTAGCACTGGAAGGCTGCTATAGCCTAAACAGCACCTCCAGTCAGCAGATCCTACTTTAAAAGCAGCTGATTTTAGTGCTGAGCACAAGTTCTTTCAACAGGAAAACAAAAGCAACAGCTTTTTCAATGTGCTTAATCTTTTGCTGCAAAATCCTTACTGTGAGAGCTCCCTGCAGAATTCACTGGATTTGCTGTGCACATAAGAGCCAGATGTTGGTCTTGCATACACATAGTGACAACTCAGGAGACCCTTGTGAGGACTGATGGAATTGTCATCAGTGTAACAAAGACCTTGGCCACACAACACTTTTTTTGTGGTCATGTCAAATCATTTTAGAAACTCACTTGATTTAATCATGACAATTTTTTCATGTAGGTGGGACATGGAGTCAAACCCCCAGATCTGTGGCTTTCCCTGTTTATCAAGTCTCACCTTCTTGCAGTGTCAGAGTGAGCGGTTTCTTCTCAAAATCAGGTGTACTGCATCCTTCTGGAACATCATTCACAAACTGAGTGACAACAACTCCTGGGATAGAAGATTTCTTGAAGATTTTTACTAGAAAATCAAGAAAAAATACATTCCATTTACATGTCTATGCTTCAGAAAGAATCTCTCAGTCTGCATTGCCTCCTGCAGAGCAATAACTGCTCCTGCTCGAACCACAAAGGTCCCACCCATTCCAGTGCCACAGGCTGTAAATGTGTCCCAAGGCTTGGGGATTAAGGTCTGGGTGGCTTTGGTAAAGCCACCTTCTGTCTTTGGCAAAGTTGTGTCCAAGTAGGAAATTCTGCAATCCAAGTCCTAACCCAGGACCACCTCGGCTCACAGCTCCAGCCACGGTTTGGCCAGGGAGAGCTTTGCATCAGTTCTTGTTCCAAATACAAAATCTGGCATGAGAAAAGCCCCAGTGCCAAGTCAGAGCCTGGTGGGTCCGTCCCTGCCATCTCCAAGGTAGAGAAGCAAGCTGGGGTTGTTCCCAGGGGAATGTTCCCCAGAGCTGTGTCTGTTCTCTCACCTGTCTGATGGCTGCTCATGATGCTTTGCTCAGCTTTCCAGGGTCAGCACAAACAGATTACAAATTCTCCTTTGAAAAAGACAAATACTTTCATTATTTACAGCTTGCAAGGGAAAGGACATACCTTAACACTGCTCCCTTTAGTGACACAGTTTGTCCTTCCTCACTTGCCACATCCTTGCAGCCAAGTAGAGGCAGAGCTGCCAATCAGCCTGTCATGCCCAGCACAACCTGGGTATGAGGATGATTAGCAGGGCTGAATGGAAAATGTACACATCCAGTGGCATCCCTCTGTGTCACCTGGCTTTCCTCTAAAGACCTCCTCTCGTGTTTCAGGCAAACATTCACCACATGGCACTCACGTGGTGGGTTCTGATGGATGGCAAAAGCAGTTGTTGAGAAGAAAACCACAGAGATGGATGTCTAAACTGGGGCATGGAGCAGAGGTACATCCTGATCTCATTTAGCTTGGTTAAATTAGCAACAGACCTGAGAGCAGACAAGAAGCCTTTAGAAGGGAATGGTGAAGTGTGAGCTTGGCATTAAGGAGTTATTGTTATGGATCATTCAGGGGACCTTCTGCCAAAAGAGTCTCTTTCCCTGTATTTTAAATTGGACAATGTGTAATGTAACACATCCCTGCCTTGCAGCAAGCTGGGAAAGCAGATTCTCTGTCATGTGAGAGATGCTCAGGAACTATAGAGTTACTGCAGCTCTGAAAGAGCAATTAGATTGGATTGCCTGTGGCATTAGTGCTGTGTCTCTGCTTTCCCTCTGCACTCCTTCAGTCAACAGTGGGACACAGGAACATGCAACTTCCATCAGTTTTGAAAGGCACAGGGACTTTGGGAGCACACCTACACCAGGCATTCATCCAGCTGAGCTCTGGCACCTGATGAACACATAAGGGTGACATCTCCTTGTCACACATTCAACTCCGAGCTGCATTGACTGGGTGAGAATTGGTTTCAGCTAAAGGTAAGAGACAACCTAGTGAGCAAAAATAATTTGTGCTGGATAAACCATGCCCAGGCCAAAGAGAGTGTCACTCACAGCACCTCTGGGTCAGCTTCTGAACCAAAATGTGTTTTGCCATTACTCAGCAGCTGCAGAGAGCCACAGACACCCCCCTACAAAAAATCACTGGCTCCACTTTGTCCTTACCACCAATCTCGTTTTGGGGCACTGCACACACGACAAATCTCAGCAATAATTGACATCTCTGAGCCTCCCTGGCCTCTGTGGAAATGCACTGAGACAACAGCACTGGGAAATGGGAGAGGGCTGTGTGAGCACCAGCCAAGCCCTCTCTCCTGTCCCCTCCTGGCCTGATCTGGATGTCCTCTGCTGCTCCCACCACACATCTGTGTGCTGCTAGTCTGGTACCTCACACAGTTACTTCTGTAATCCCCTGGGAGATGTCTTAAAACCTGGGAATGAAGGGAATGAGGAGCTTGTGGGAAGGAAAAGACACAAAATGGAACTGAAAAGAAGCTGATTCCAGGGCACCCTGTCGTGCCCCAGGCAGGGCATTGCACAGTGAATGGCTGAGATTTTTAGATGGATTTAATTTGTCTTCCACAGTACTGAACCACATTAACAACAAACATAATCCCCTATTGCCTCTTGTATCTTCCTAAACATGTCACCACTCCTGGAGCTGGAATGCCTGATGCTTACAACACTCACCAAACAGGATGACCTGACACCAGCTTGCAGCAGCTTTCCCCTAAGCTCTGTTTGTGCTACACTTGCATTTATTCTTTGCTCCTCCTGACTCCTTTCCTCCACGCTGGGCAGTGGAGACGAGCAGCTACTCTGAACCAGCCATGGGGTACAAATTCAGCTCCAAAGCCTTTCTTGGCATCTCCAAATGTTTCATGCCAGAATGTTTCATTCTCAGCCTGGTGTGACAGTGGACATGTGTTACCATAACAAAAACTGCTGAGAGAGGGCTAAATTCAAATCTAGTTTGGTAAAAGCCCCAAATACTGGCAATATTTGCACAGGCAGTAACAGGCTCCATCTCCCAGTGGACAACATGCACTATGTGCACTATGTATAAACTGCTGAGTTTACAGAGTCTTAAAGATTTCAGAAATTCACTTGGATTAAAAATAAGCTCCTGTGAGTCCTTAAACTCCTGTGAATTCCTGACTTCTGGAGAAGGAGAAGGAAGCATGCTAATGCCACACATTGATTGCAGGGTTAAAATAACAGTGCTGGATATGAAGGGAACATTCCTTCGGTGTAATGAATCCAACCACATTGCATTTTCCAGTGTCTTGTGTATTAAATAAGGACCAGAAAATAACACCCTAATTGGGACAGAGTCCCTAAAACCTACCCCTGCTTACTTTTAAAATTTTTACTCCCTTGTTACATGGATGATCATGGCTTTGTTCTGACTCCAGTTCAATTTAGAAAAAGAAATCACAGGATTTTTAAAATGAGACAGCAAAAGCCTTCTAAAAATTGTCATAGTGTAATTCATATCTTCACTCACAGGCGCTTGAAACATTGGTGTCCAAATGAGGACAATTTATTCAATGGAATAAATGCTTCCAAGAGGGAGTGACCCCTCCCCAGGTGAATGCTGCTGACACCCCCAGCACAACAGAGTCACACTGGAAGCAGCTCCACGCTCTCACTCCTCTGTAAAACACATCCCTGTCGTGCATTAGCCTTGTTCAGGTATCCAGTTGGCCATTCCTCATTCCAGGCAGAAGTCTGTCTGCTTTGCAGCTGCAGGGACATCCCCACTGGAGACACAGGGAAAGCTTCCATGGCTTTGAGCACAGGGCTGGAGCAAGCCCTTTGCTACTGACAACATTTTTAATGTCCCAAAATAAAGCTAGGAGCCTGGCAGGGTGGGAGGTTGCCCTTCATCCTGTGTGTTCATCAATCTGTCTGGATGAGACAGAGCAAGAGACCAATCCCTGTGAACCTGACTGGACACCAGTGCTGGGGCCATAAATCAGCTGAATGAATAAGCAAAACATTTGGGAGTCAGAGGATTTGTAGGTGTTGGGGGAGTCACAGGGAGTTATTTACAGGCTTCAGACAGTGCAATACACGGACAAGATGTGACATAATTGCTGGCAGACTGGTGAGCAAAATTAGCCAAAGCTGTAGGGAAGGCACACACAGTGAGTGGCCCATGGGGAGGGGATGGGTGCAGAGGCTGGGATGTGCCACGGGCATTGCACAAGCACAGACTCAGCGGGGACAAAGCCATTAGCACACACTTAAACCAGTGACAGTAAAGTAATCAGCAACACAGGCAGCATTTCCTTCATAGAAACATCACAGAATCTGCTGAGCTAGAAGGGACCCACAGGGACCGTCCAACCCTGCACTGACACCCCAACAATCCCACCCTGGGCATCCCTGGCAGTGCTGCCCAAGCACTCCTGGAGCTCTGGCAGCCTCGGGGCCGTGCCCATTCCCTGGGGAGCCTGGGCAGTGCCAGCACCCTCTGGGGGAGGAACCTTTCTTGAGATCCAGCCTGAGCCTGCCCCGACAAAGCTTTTCTCTTTGTAATTCTCTTTGAATTTCTCTTTGTAAATCATGAAAATCAGGGCAGTCCTGACACAGAAAATGTTCTAAACAAAATAGCAAATTGTTGTGAGCTCAGTCAAATTCTGGCTGTGCTTTACCCAGATCCAGATACTCAGTGAGTATATTTCACCTAAAAGTTCTCTTTTAGCTTTGGGTCGGCTTTCTGTGGTTTTTTGTTAACTTGAAGTCATATTTTGAGCTTGAGTCTTCCCATTTCAGATGAATTTTCAAGGAAAATTTCAAATGCTTTGGTTAGAACCACAGAACTGTGGCTTTGGTTAGAGCCACAGAACCACAAGGCCAACAAACTGCAGAAGGGAAACTTCATGAAAACTTCTGAGCAGGTCACAGAGCGGGAATGTCACAAGCTCTCCAGTGATGAATGGAGGTCTTGTGCAGAGTGGGGAGGAATGCCCAAGGATCAGATTTTGTGTGACTTATCCCTTTGGTAAATCTATACCTGACCTGATCTTCTCCTCTGCTCCAGGGATTATGAACACGACCTAAGTGCTTGCTCAGGATCCACAGAAACACAAACTAGATACCCTGCACCCATTTATGAAATGGGCACTGATACCAAAGGCCAAGAGGAGACACACACCATCCCTATTTTCTAAGGGAGCAAAGGCCATTAAGCCCCAGCAGTGAGCAGGAGAGTGAATCCATGTCCCTTTGGAGCAGCAGGGATGGGATGGCAGCAAGAGAACTGCTCAGTCTGTGCTTTCCGTGGCCACAACACTCCCATGGATTTTTCATAGCAGAAACAGACTTTGATACAGGCAAGAGATTTACAGCAAGGAGCAAACACAACAGAGTCTCACTGCCAGGAAGGAAAGATAACATATCCCTGCTCACTGTCCAGGATGAAAACCTGTAGGAACCCCAATGTACCTGTGCCACAAGTCCCTTGCCAGCTCCAAGGGACAATGGCAGCAGCTCTTCAACAGCCTGGCATCTTCCCAGGGAAATCCAGGGAAATCAGTGTACCCTACAGGAGCCCACCACTCCCAGAACGTTGACAACCATTTCCAGACCTACTGCAACACAAACCCACATTAAGTGTGACAACAAAGGTGTCACTTCCCAGTCCCAGCTCTGCATCACCCCCACACAAATCACTGCTGACATGGCCAAACTCACCACTCTACAGGCTGAGCTTCTGAGAGGATCCTCTGGAAGTCACTTCTGCGTCTCCAGGCCCACAGTGCCTTTGTTCACTCAGAGCACAGAGCTCTTCATAGCTGTCCAGTGGGTCCCCTGGTTCCAGGTATCAGTGACCTGTGGGAAGGAAGATAAGCCCCTTATCTGTCTGGTGTAAATGTCACTAAATGGCAAAAGAAGCAGCAAACTGCCGTCCCCCTCACACCTCTCCAGTCTCGCAGAAAGTGAGGCTGTGCCCAGGAGCTGCTGGGTGTCTCCACACTGAGCTGGAGCAGCCCTGGGGGCTCATTATAGCCC